CTCTTGGGCCTTTTTTCCCCATCTGTCCATTTTTTCTTAGCAATTGATCACTCATGCCATTATTTGTCCAAAAGTAATCACTGTCTTGTTCCTTAAGCGCACAAATTCAAAAGATTCAAATAAAACAATCAACGTTCATGCACATTCATTTTGCGGTATGAAATATCACAAGTGTTTGGGGCTGTAACAGTTTGACCCGATTAATGCTTTGATTTACTAAGTTAAGTTTTACAAACGTCGTACATCAGTTCATGTTCACCAATACAGCAGCATTACTAAGATGAGAGAACTTACCCGAGTACTAAGACACACTGATAAGATGCACCTGTTGATTGAGATTACTTCAAGGGTGTATTCATTTATTGACCTCAACTTTATTTAGTTCCTTAACTTGAGGGGTAACAATCTGCACAGTGTTTTTCTTTTCTTTTCTGGGGATTCACATTTAAATAAAATTGGAAATAAATGAGATAATTATTTTGCATAAACCATTTAAGTAAACTCAGTTAAGACAGTTTAGTACTTGTTGTGGAAACAAAGATAAGTACTCAGTCTTTGTACCATATAAAAAAAAACTTAAATTAGCCAAATACAGTTTTACAGTTTTTACAATTACAGTGAATACCGTAGATCAAAATGGACGCTCACTGACTGGGAAATGGTATCAAAGTACAGAAGGTAGCAATAACAACCAAAACTATTTAAAAAATAACTCATAAAAATAACAAATACATACAATAATAAATATATTTCTTCGTTCTGAGCAAAGCACATCATAATTATTCCACCAATGCGAATATCGCTTTACAGGCGCTGGATAAAAGCTTTCTTCGATTTTTAAGTACTCATCAAAAATTCCAAGACAACAATACTAACTGCAGATACAAAGATGCCAGCACTTATCAGGTTTGCCAAGACAAAGAGATTACTAAACGAGCATTTGTCATAAATACAGAGATTATTCATCAACATAGTCATCAAAGGTACTAAGGAATGAGCATGTGATCTCGAAGTTACTAAGATTAGTCTACTTTCATCGTAAATACTAAGATCAGGCTACCCATGAGAGAAACTGATATAAAATACTCTGAATCAAAAGAAGGAATACCCATATAAACAGTACGATATGCGAGCGTTTGGGCGCTCGGTTGGAATACTAAGATATCGGTGACTGATGGCGTGACGTGTTTTAAATGCATAGACACATGGAGTCGTTCTGCAACAAACTCCATTACTAAGATAACACTGGAACTGTAAACAGAACAAATACGCCGCTCTCTTTCTCATGACATCTTCATTGTGCTTTTGAATCGCCCTCAAGGGCGACTCCAGCCTATTGTGTTTGTAATAGGTAAAAATGTCGAAACCCTCACCGAAACCACCGTGGTCTGATATGAACTCACAGCTAAAATGGATCATTGTTACTAAGATGCAGTCAGGTAAACTTGAACTCTTGGTAAGAGTTGTTTTTTTAACACCCTGAGCACTCTCGGACCATATGGTGTTTGGGTTTAACTAACATATTTCCAAATTTGCTGGGATGCAAAATTCATTCATTCATCTATTTTTAACCAGGTGAAAACAAAATAATGTTACAGACTGCCAAAGTGCACCATAGTTCAACAGATTATAAAGTACAATATTTAAAGGATTGTAGTATACTTAAGATTTCAATAAGTGCATTGATGCCTTTCATTAAATGGGTCATATGATGAGATTTCAAGTTTTCCTTTCTCTTTGGAGTGTTACAAGCTGTTCGTGAATAGATAAGATCCCTAAAGTTGCAAAGACTAAAGTCTCAAACCCAAAGAGATATTCTTTATAAAAGTTAAGACTCGTCCATGTCCTCATTGTCGCTGCCACCGCCACGTCATGTTGTGAAGACGCTGTGTGTTTCATTGCGAAAGCGAAAACACTTAGTTTGGTTTTCCAAAAGAGGACATGACTAGAAATCAGTGGTTAAGTTGTATTTACAACACTGTTCCAGAACAGTTCAACCCAAATATTCAGATGTGTCCAGCGCATTTTATGGAGGACTGTTTCCTGATCCTGGGAGAGTAGACTACAATGCCGGCTGTTCTAACTCACAGACTGTAAGTACGTTTTCATATTTAAAGAATGTGCCACTGACGATTCAAACGCGAGTTTTGAGCAGTGTAGAGTAGCGCTTGTTGTTTGTCATTTCTCCGATCACAAATGCAGACATGGTTTTATGTTTACACGGCGCGATGCAACACAACGCGTAAAAAGACAGTATAAGTCATTATAATCCGTAATTATGTCCCCACTGGATGCAACAAATGCCTCGTTTATAATGGGTTTTAATGTTTTTGTCTCATTGCTCCGGAACACGGAATCACAATATGGCAAGGGGCGTAACATTTCCGTCACACGCTTGAGGTTTTCGGCCAATCACAACGCACTGGATAGCTGACCAATCAGAGCACACCTTGCTTTTCAGAACGATGAGCTTTGTAAAAATCGATGCGTTTCAGAAAGGCGGGGCATAAAGGAGAAACAATAATGTACAGTATGTGGAAAATAATGTGTTTTTTAACCTTAAACCGCATAAACACAATTCATTACACCAAATACACAAAATAATGTTCTCGTTAGCAACATCATATGACCCCTTTAAGCATTATTACTCACTGCGATCAGAATTGAAGGAGTCAAAAACTCTTCACAATAAATCACTAAAATGTTACTGCTATGGTGTTCATAATTTGAAGTAATTAAAATTTGATGCTGAACTGGAAGATCCACTGATTAATGTGAATTGTCATCCCATGTCTATGACTTGTTTATTTGCAAACTGTCTGCGTTGTTTTAGCACCCGGGACACTAAAGGAATTACATAAATCAGGTCATGATGCAAAAACAGCCACAAAATTACTGCTGAATGCAATTTTCTCAATGCAATTCCTGATCATGAGTGTTAGACATGTGGTTAAACTGAACTGCGGGTGCTTATAGCGAGGGATTTTTTGTTGAAATGTTCTGAGTAACTGTTTAGTGAATTTACCCGTCAATTTTTCTTTTTTGGCAGATTCTAGTTATTACATTTTTGAGGCTTAAACAGTTCACATACTGTACATACAAATAATCTACACACAGTTTAAAGTCTATTGTTTGACAATGAATACTGTACATCTGTAGCGGAATCTTCGAAATCACAAAAATATTTGAGAAATATCCTTCCCAGAATAATGAAAAAGTAGGCTACTTAAAAGATATCTGAGATGAGCGCAGGTTGTGGAGATTAATTTCTAAATATAAATTACATGAGAAGAAAAAAACATCAAAAATCTGTAAATTGTTAGACAAAAGTTCTACATTTTGCTGAACAGTTTCATTATTACCTCATCCAACTCTTCAATCAATGAAGGTTTATTGAAACCTGCCAACTGACAATGCCACTTACCGGTTGGAACGGGTAATTTCAGCAGATGGCTATATAAATGTTGGTGGCTGAATGAATGCAACAACGATTTAAAAACGGGGCATGCATGCTCAAAGATGTCTGTTTACATCGAAAAAAAATATATTCAAAAGCAGTGCAGTGGAACGCAAAGCGTGTTCTGTGTGAAATAGTAATCGAGCATGGCATATGCCCATTGCTTGAATCATGGACAGACGGACTACTAGTTGCCTACTGGGTAAGCAAGGTAAAACTTACATTATATGCGAAGTGAAACTTTAAAATTATCAGATGCTTTGTGCAACAGCTATAAAAACATAATTTTAGTAACTGATATGACTGAGATGGAAACTTTCCTCAGACTACGCAGTTTTGACTTTCTAACTAAATATAAATGAGTAAATCAGTATGAACTGATAAAAGCTATCAAATGTATTTCATTAAGAATTAGGTCCTTCTTTACTATTGTGGTTTGATTGACTGGCACCTTCAAGTGTGTATGTATAAATGTCTATTGACACAGAGTGACATGCTGGTATATTAAAGTAGGTATATTAATAAAGAATTTGTGTCACATAAATATGAAGCCCTATTATTTTTTATGTTATTAAATGATGTTGATTATTTGAACCCTGTTAATGGATTCAATGCTAAACTTTTGCTCAGTTGAGTAAAAGTTTTAAAAATAAGTATGCCGTAACGTGCAACATGTGCAGATGCGTTCTGCTGGTGCACAGACATAGGGAGCATGTGATGTTTTGTTTTTTAACCTATGGAGAATATAAGAACATGTTCTTGCAGCATTTTGGCATATTCCCATAGGATGGCATCCGCAGACCTAGTAGAGGAATGTTGTGGGAAGGTTATCGGAAGATTTCCACAGTGTTCGCATGAATGCAGCTGTGGGAGTTGCTCAAATTGAGTTTGCATAGCAATAGGGGAGTTTTACAAGAATGTTGCTGCAGTGTTTTGGGAAACGTTTGGATAACCTCTGCTGCAAACCTAAGGGAGCCCTAGTTTTACACTTTCTCTGTTGAGTTTAAAATTAATTGGTTGCATAGCACAAGGGAAGGCTGTAGTGTACTTACAGTGCCAAAAGTGCTAACGCTATTGGAGCGCTGGGAAAACGTATGTCAAGATGCTGAGAGGTCACAAATGTGTGAGCATTTGGGGAGCATTGCTTTAATGTTGTTATATCATTGGGGAAGCACTTGTGAAATCTGAGAGATCTGTTAGGTGAGAATTTATGGGTGGTTGGAGAAAACAGCCTCCAACTAACAGTGAGAAAAATAAGTTATTTTCTAGGGGCGCGTGTTTGGAGAAGATGAAAATATTCTGCAGTCTTTGTCTTCCTCGAGTTTGCACCTTTTGTCTGGTAATGACTTATTGCACTGTTCTCAATCGTTAGCATGCATTCATTGAATGTGATTGTAATACTTGTGTGAGATGTAATTAATTTTCCTAATACTGAGGATTATTATAATTGTATGGTTTCCAACAAATGAGGTATTGTTTTTTTTGCAGAGGGTGGTATCTAAAGTGAGACATAAAAATGTTATTTTCAAGACATTAATGGATGCGATTTAAAACCTTTTTGCAGCATTCTCTCTTTGATATCTGTGAACAATTGAATGTATTGTGGGTAACTTATATTGTGTTCGCTTTGGGCTGATCATCGTTATTGTTGTTGCCAGGTGACTGTTTGTTGCTGCGCTCAGTCCCGCCCTTTGACGTCTCCTGCAGGAAGAGGCGTGGCTTACAAAGTGACAGAAGTATTCTTCGATATTCTCTGCGGAAGTTCTGATTGAGCAGTCCGTACACTACGGCGTTCAGGCAGGAGTTAAAATATGCCATGAAATAACTCACCACAAACAGCCAATCAGGGACCAAGGGCGCTACGTGGGGTGGGTCCACCGCTACAGCCAGGCCAATCAGATTCAGCGGCGCCCAGCAGACGGCGAAAAGCACAAAGACGACAAACATGGTCAAGAAGTGGCGCAACTCACTCGGACGGAGGCGTGGCCTGACGTCGGTTGTGACCCGCCTCCTCACGCGGAGCACCAGCACCCAAATCCTCAGATAGCAGAACGTAACTACCGCGATAGGAAGCAGGAAGTGCACGGTCACCACGGCGATGGTGTAGCCCGCGCTTGTCGTCTGACTAAAGGTGCATGAGTAAACGCGAGGGTCGTACGTCAACGACCCCAGCGCCAGGTTTGGAAGAATGGCGATGGCGGTGAGCACCCAGACTAACGTCAGAAGCGCCAGGGTTCCGGCGCGGCCGTAGATTTTCTCGTAGGTGTTGGCTTGGCAGATGAAACAGTAGCGGTTGATGGCGATGGCGGTGATGTTGAAGATGGAGCCGATGACACTCGCTCCCATCAGGAAGCCGCTGACCTTACACTCCATCTCCCCCGGCAACCAGCCCGCGTGCAGCATGCCGTGCAAGACCAGAGGGTAGGGATAGCAAACCACCAGAAGATCGGCAAAAGCCAGGCTCACTACAAACGCATTACCTAAAGCACACACACACACACAGACAGAATTCAAATACAAGGCCTTAGTTATGGCATTAAAGTTAATTGTTTTATTACATTCAGATCATGATGACAGAATTATTAAAACTCAAAATTATAAGTTGTAAACCTGATTTTTTTTTTTTTTGCACCAACTGATCGACCATTACGTTATATAAAAAACAGCAAAATAGAAATGATGAGAACAGTAAGATGTAATCAGGAAACTACAGTACTTCAGGGGCGGATCCGGGGTGGCACGGGGTGGCAACTGCCACCCAAAGAAAAAGCTGTGCAACCCCACCTGCCACCCCAGAATTATCACAGAGTAAAATATAAATGTAAGCAGTGTTTCATATGCTACTTTTCAGCAGAGGCGATGACAGCATAACGCAAAATAATGGCAAGAAAACACGTCTTTCAGTAAACTGTGCATGATGGTTGCATGAGCACGCAGCGCACCCAGTGTAGTCAGTTACATTAACAAATGACTCTTATGAACCGGTTCTTTGTGAGTCAGAAACACTAACGAATTGATTTTACATTTGTTCATGAACTGTTTACTGCTTCTCGTCTAACTAGAAGTCTTCTGAGATCTGTCTTCTGACCTAATCCCGTCCGGATATGTCTGAGATTCATCCCGTAATTGTTTGGTGATCCGATTCTCTGACCGCCCGCTCCACTTTCATCATGGATATAGGCCTTTTTTGCCATCCGACGAAACAATAACATGAACTCAATAAGAAGATGCAGATCACCGAATCTAGTAGCAGCAGAGTTAGGTAAGAATCTAATCGTATTGCAGTTTTTGTACAGTAAACTGTAGCACATGTTGCACACCCTCAAAACCTGCTAAAGTGTTGCTAGTTGGTTGCTAGGATATTCTGGGTGGTTGCTAGGCTCTTGCTATGCAGTTGCTGGGGCGGTGCTAGAGTAAATGTTTGATAGTGTGTTCTGGGTGATTACAGATATTCCCACCTCAGTTCATTACAGAAAATCAAACATTGTTTTAAAAACTGATCCAGTTTCAGTGCTTTGATATTATTGTATTCCTTTCTAGTGTTAGGAAAATCAAAAACTTTTGTTGCTCTTAAACTTGCACTAAAACGTGATTTATACCACCCAAGTAGCCTATGTAATATTAATAGAACCACTTGTATTCTTTAGTGATGCAAGCTCAGAAACATTTACTGTTGAAGTTTTTTATATCGTGTATTGACTTGTTGCCATGATGGATTTTGAAATGTTAGTATTTATTTTTCAGTTTAAACAATATAGATGATTACTTCATGGTAATGCAATAGGCTATTTGTGAACACAATTGTGTGTCAGGCCATAAATCTCCAAAAACTATGCACGGGTGCTTGCTTTGGTGTTGCCACCCCTTTGCCACCCTAAAAATTATTTTGCGGCGCAAGATGGCAGCCATGGTTTGTCGCTTCTTGGTACTTGTACTTTTTTTGTTTGTTTGTCCTGTTTTAAGCAATTTTTTCCCGATCAGCTTTACTAGGAACGAACTCCTGGACATCAGAAATAGCACACCAAATAACTTTATACCGACATTTGAGCATTCAGATGTTTACTGGACATTTTAGTCGGAGGAGCTGCATTCCTATACAAGCGCTCCAGGCGACGCAAGCGAGGGAAACGCGCCGGCGCGCTCGTGAAATTCCGACAGCGCGGTTTTAGGACTCCGCTGCCGAGCATTCATCTGGCGAATCTCCGCTCCCTAGCAAATAAATCAGACGAACTACGACTCCTCACCCGCACAAACAAGGACTTTTTAAACTCCGCTGCGCTCTGCTTCACGGAAACCTGGCTGAACGGAGCCATCCCAGACAACGCGTTACATCTAACGGGCTTCCAGCTGTTCAGAGCGGACCGCGTCACCGAGTCATCGGGGAAAACGAGAGGCGGTGGATTATGTTTTTATATCAATGAAGGCTGGTGTACAGACGTGACAGTTTTAAAGAAGATGTGCTGCCCAAATTTGGAAACTCTCTTCATTAACTGTAAGGCTTTTTATTCATCGCGGGAGTTTTCCTCATTTATTCTGGTGAGTGTCTACATTCCTCCTGACGCGCGTGTGAGCGCCGCGCTAGAACTGTTGGCCGATCAGATCACACACACAGAACAACGTTATCCGGACTCTTTCATTATCGTTCTCGGTGATTTTAATAAAGCTAATCTCACCCGTGAACTGCCTAAATATAGACAGCACATCACATGCCCCACCAGAGACAGCAATATACTGGACCACTGCTACACTGTTTTAAAGGATGCATACCACTCTGTCCCCCCAGCAGCTCTGGGACTCTCTGATCACTGTTTGGTTCATCTTCTACCAGTCTACAGGCAGAAACTCAAATCTGGTAAGCCTGTAGTGAAAACTGTAAAAAGATGGACTGCTGAAGCAGAGCAGGATTTACAGGCCTGCTTCGAACTTACTGATTGGAGTGTTTTTGAGGCTGCAGCTACTGATCTGGATGAGCTTACTGACACCGTGACATCCTACATCAGTTTCTGTGAGGACATGTGTGTTCCCACCAGGACTTATTTAACATTTAACAACGACAAACCTTGGTTCAGTGCAAAACTCAAACAGCTTCGCCAGGCCAAAGAGGATGCCTACAGGAGTGGGGACAAAGACTTGTACAAACAGGCCAAATACACACTGAATAGGGAGATAAGAGTGGCAAAGTTAAACTACTCTGAAAAGCTAAAAAAACAGCTTTCAAGTAATGACTCTACATCAGTGTGGAAAGGCCTGAAAGCCATCACCCGCTACAAGACCCCATCCCCCAGCACTGAGGCCAATCAACAACTGGCTGAAGACCTGAACGAGTTCTACTGCAGGTTTGAAAAACAAAAACCCGGTCTGACACCCCACACCCACTCCGACCGTCTCACGGCACAGCCATCAACACCCTCCCCCTCCATCCCCCCTACTGTTTCTCATCCTGCACTCAAGATCTGTGAAGAGGATGTATGCAAAGTCTTCAGAAAGCAGAAGATAAGGAAAGCCAAAGGCCCAGACGGTGTCTCTCCAGCCTGCCTCAAAGCCTGTGCTGTCCAGCTATCATCCATCTTCACATTGATCTTCAACAGATCCCTGGAGCTGTGTGTAGTCCCCTCCTGCTTCAAATGTTCCACCATCATCCCTGTACCCAAGAAACCAAAAATCACAGGACTTAATGACTACAGACCTGTTGCTTTAACATCTGTGGTCATGAAGGCATTTGAGAGACTGGTGTTGGCCTACTTGAAGGACATTACTGGACCCTTGCTGGACCCCCTGCAGTTTGCTTACCGAGCAAACAGGTCTGTGGATGATGCAGTCAATATGGGATTGCACTACATCCTCCAACATCTGGACAAACCAGGGACTTATGCAAGGATCTTGTTTGTGGACTTCAGCTCCGCTTTCAACACCATCATCCCGGACACCCTTCAGAATAAACTGACCCAGCTCTCTGTGCCCACCTTCATCTGTCAATGGATCACCAGCTTTCTGACAGACAGGCAGCAGCTAGTGAGGCTGGGAAAACTCACATCCAACACCTGCACCATCAGCACCGGACACAACAAATTCCTCGTGTGTTTGCACACACCTGGCGAATAAAGCTACTTCTGATTCTGATTCTGATTATAGATCCGCCCCTGCTACTGTTCAAAGGTTTGGGAACGGTAAGTTTTTTTTCCCCCCTCTCTTATGCTTACCAGGATTGCATTTATTTGATCAAAAATACAGTAAAAACAGTTATATTGTAAAATATTATTACAATTAAAAAAAAAAGGTTTTCTATTTGAATATATTTGAAAACAATTTATTCCTGTGATGCAAAGCTGAATTTTCAGCATAATTACTCCAGTCTTCAGTGTCACATGATCCTTCAGAAATAATTATAATATGCTGATTTGCTGCTTAAGGAACATTTCTCATTATTATTATCAGTGTTAAAAACAGTTGAGCTACTTCATATTTTTGTGGAAACTGATAATTATTATTTTTTTGATTCTTTGATGACTAAAAAAATTCAAAAACATTTGTAACAATGTAAAAAAAAATTGTAACAATGTAAATGTCTTTACTGTTTTGATCAATTTAATACATTTTTTGCAAACCTTTAGATCCCTTTTAACACACCTAACTCTCGTAAAAAAAAAATTTAAAAAAAACTTGTTCAGCAAAGATCTCAAACAAGTCAATGCATGTCACAATTCCTATACTACTTTTATTTTAAAAATTCCTAGACAATGGACATGTGTAGTTGCATTCATCAATAACTCTACTGTACATTGACTGATGAGAGCAGAAGTGATGTTTCTGAATGATTCTTGTTGAAGGAGGCTTTATTTACACTTGTGGTGTGGTTTAAACTGACAGCTCATTAGCATTACAAAAGACCAGCCCCTTCCACATTCAGAACAGCCAGTCTCTAAATATAGCCTCTTAAATAATGTAGGAGGGTGGAGAGCAGCACTCAATAATTAAGTGGATTTGTTCTGGTCAGAAAAGAGGAACTTTTTATTGTGTCACGGCTAAAGTGGGGCAAGACGGCTGAGGTGTCGTCTTGCCAAGCAGGAGAGCAGAATCAAGAGGCTTCAATTACCATTCATTAATCTGAAGAACCTTCTTTCGCCACAAAGAACCTTTTGTGAAACAGAAAGGTTCTTGAGATGTTAAAGGTTCTTTATGGAACCATTTAGACAAAAAAAAAAGGTTATTCTATGGCATCGTGAAGCACCTTTATTTTTAAGAGTGCAATGTAAATGTAACCAAGAAAATCTCATGCAAAATCCAGAGAAGAGTGTTTGAATCCAGTCTTCAGTGTCACATGATCCTTCAGAAATAATTATAATATGCTGATTTGCTGCTTAAGGAACATTTCTCATTATTATTATCAGTGTTAAAAACAGTTGAGCTACTTCATATTTTTGTGGAAACTGATAATTATTATTTTTTTGATTCTTTGATGACTAAAAAAATTCAAAAACAT